TACACACATATATATATATTAGATAGATGCTTCACTGGTTTTGCTTCTCTAGAGAACCCAACCTAAGACATCTGTGTCTCGTTCAGAAGCCGAAACTTCCCACTAAGGAAATGTGCTCTTAGAAAGACTGAGAAAAATTGTTTTCTGGTCTTGATTAGCAAACCCTAATATGCTGTATGTAGATCTTTATGAAGCCTCTGGTATAGAGCAAGAAAGAGTGAATGAACTTCTAGGATTTTTGAGAGTTTGAAGGGTTGAAGAACAAAAGATTTAAAAAACTACCAGCAAAACTAAAAGAACAATTTAGAGGAACATAGATGCTCATCATTTTAATCTGTAGCTGTATTACGTATCATTGTCAGTATACCTAATTTTGCATATTAGCTACCTTTTATACAGTGTGCCTTTAGAACTCTTTTATATATTGTTCCTGGGAACTGATCAAACAAATTTACCTATTTTTCTCCAAAGACAGTATTATAATAAATTACCTAATGGTGATGAGTTATCAGTACACTGAATGATAATAATAGTATTTTAGGTCCTATGTTATTTTTAGGAGGAATTTTATTCCTTTGGGTCCAGGAAACTCCCTTTCCATCCTTGAGCTTGCTATCCTGTATTTATTTGCTTGACTGGTTTGTTATCTCATAGGAATAAATAAAGGAGCCCTGGTGATGCAATGGTTAGGCACTTGGCTGCTAACCGAAAGGTTGGTGGTTCGAACCCACCCAGTGGCTCTGTGGGAAAAAGACCTGGTGATCTGCTCCCTTAAAGATTATAGCCTAGAAATCCTACGGGGCAGCTCTGTGTCACATGGGGTCGCTATGAGTTGGAATTGACTTGACGGCACCTAGCAACAACAACAAGGGATAGATAACATTCCAAAAGATGAAATTGTTGGATTCTGGGACCACACAGTATGGATTGGAATTTTGGTATTATTTCTGAAACAGAAGACAATTCTGTTTTTGACTGTCCAATGGATATGTGGAAAACCAAGCTAACTAACCAATGCCTAGGGTGCTCACTCTAGTTCAACTTAGCGCCATGAATTTGAAAAGATAAATGTTAGGAGCTGACATAAGGGAAGCTCCATCAAACTCTGGGTGGCAATATTTAGGAGAAATACAAATGAAGACTATACTTGAATACAAAGAAATCTTTGATTCTTATACTATAACCAAAACTAAACCCGCTGCCATTGAGTCAATTCCAACTCATAGCAACCCTATAGACAGAGTAGAACTGCCCCATAGGGTTTCCAAGGAGCGGCTGGCGGATATGAACTGCTGACCATTTGGTTGGCAGCCACAGCTCTTAACTACTACGACACCAGGGCCCCCCTTATACTTTGAGAACTTATATATAGCATCTGTTTCTGGTTCATGCTGATTCGTGCTGAGAGTTGTTCACAGATAATACATCACTTGTGAGCCGCTTATGAACAGCTTCTATTTCTTACCTGTGAAACTTCAAAATCTGCCTGGAGATTTCCAGATGTTAACCCACTTAGTAGGACAATCTCATCTTCTTTTGGCTGTTGGATGTTCATGGAGCTGATAAGTTTTGGAAGATCTGGTGAAATGTTGACCAATTTCTATAGGACAAGAATCTTTATTAGTGTAGATGATTTAACTTTCAAAATACTACCCCTCAATTTTTTTCTTCTTTTTTTAATATTATTTTTGATAAAATATACATAACAAAATATTACACCCATTCAACATTTTCTACAAGTACAATTCAATGACATTAGTTACATTCTTTGCATTGTGTTACCATTCCATTCTCTCTACCCATATTTTTTCATCACCATTAACTTAGACTTTCTGTCTCCAAAACTTCCCCTCTGTGTTTTAGAGTTACTGTTGTCAATTTGATTTCATATAGATAATCCTTTAAAAGAGCGCATTGCTCAAGGTGAATATTCTTTACTAGTTGAGCTAAGCTGTTGTTTAGTTTAAAGATAACTTCATGGGATAGTTTCGGTTCAAGGCTTAAAGATTCTCAGGGCAATAGATTCAGGAGTTCCCCCAGCTCCATTGGGTCCAGTAAATCTGGTTTCTATAAGAATTTGAAATTCTGTTCTGCATGTTTCCTCTTTTTGATCAGGATCCATCTATTGGGTCCTTGATCAAAACTTTCAGTAATGGTAGCCGGGCAACATCCCTTTGTTCTGGTCTTAAGGCAAAGGAGGTAGTAGTTCATGAATACCCCAAAACTTGTTTACTTGCAGATATAATTCAGTCACATAACTGACCATGCTATAGATTACTTAATCTACTAAGATTATCACAAGAAGAGAAGCATAGGGTTGAGACTGAAACAGAAAATTTCTTAAATATAAAGCTTTGAAAGCTCTTCAGTTTTGTATTTTTCAATGTAAACATTTAATAATTACTGTCAAAGCACAGGTATAAAGAGTAGTTTGGGAAAATTTTCTCTCTTAATACCTCTAATAAGATGATAACCAAAACCCCACTGCCATCAAGTCAATTCTGACTCATAACAACCCCATAGGGTTTCCAAGGCTGTAAATCTCTACAGAAGCAGACTGCCACATCTTTCTCCCACAGAGCCACTGGTGGTTTTGAACTGCTGACCTTTCAGTTAGCAGTCGATCACTTTAACCACTGTGCCACCAGGGCTCCTTAATAACATGATAGTTGACTAATTATCAGCTATTCTAATAAAGCCAATAATAATAAAACAATGACTAGCATTGATTTTTTGCTTATGCTTTTGCTAAGCACTATGCTAAAGACTGTACATTTGCTATATCTTACTACATTTGATCCCCAAACAACCCTGTATGGATTGTTGTTGTTGTTATGTGCTGTTGAGTTGGTTATGACTCATAGCGACCCTACGGGACAGAACAGAACTGCCCCATAGGGTTTCCAAGGAGTGGCTGGTGGATTTGAACTGCGGACCTTTTGGTTGTAAGCCAAGCTCTTAACCATTGTGCCACCAGGGCTCCATTATTACCTTCATTTAACAAGCAGCCTGAGGCCCAGAGATTAGTAACTTTTCCAGGTTTATGTAGCTAAATGTCTGCTGTTAACCATAACAGGAAACAGTTTCAACTCACTCACATGAAGTCTTCAAACACACAGTTCCTAAGATGCCAACTTGCTTGAGTCCTTCCTGCTCTCACTTCAATGGATTCTGCACCATAATTTCATCAAATGAAATCATGTACAATTTCTTTTGAAAAACCCCTCTGGTGCTACACAGATGAGTGATATTAGGAGTAAGGGTGGAAATCTAGAATGGGGAATCTATGTGGGCAACTGGGTTTGAGAAGCTTCAGGTACCATTTAAAAAAAAAAAAGCAATAAAAAACCCAAACCCATTGCCATCAAGTTGATTCCGACTCACAGTAACCCTACAGGACAGAGTAGAACTACCCCATAGGGTTTCCAAGGAGTGGCTGGTAGATTTGAACTGCTGACCTCTTGGTTAGCAGCCAAGCTCTTAACCACTGTGCCACCAGGGCTCCTCAGGTGCAATACTGTAAAGAAAAAAAGTTACAGGAGTAATGGAGTACTTGCCGGTCTACCGTCCTGTGATAATCAAGCTGTTCATGCTGTGCATGTTATACCTTGAACAGCATTACACCAAATAGTGAGGTCAAGCTATCTTCAGCTTTGGGCATGAAAGGATAATTTTATCACAACACTTAATTCTTCCCGTTGTGCCACAGGCTCTGGTTCCAAAGGACTCAGTGGGTCTTCAAATTCTTGCAGGTTGTCAAGGATTTACATCAGGGCCCTAACAACCTTGAATGGGCTTGAAATGTCTAGCTGCTGCTGCTGTTGTAGGCTGCTATCAAGTTGGCCCCTGACTCATGGTGACCCCATGCACAGTGGGATTAGACCATTGTGATCCGTAGGGTTTTTGCTGGCTTATTTTTCTGAAATAGATGGCCAGGCTTTTTTTCATAGTCTGCCTTACTCTGGAAGCTCTGCTGGTACCTATTAGTATCAGAGCAACACGTAAGCCTCCACCAACAGATGTGTGGTGGCTGCGCTTGCGGTGAATTGGCTGGGAATTGAACCCGGGTCTCCCGCGTGGAAGGTGAGAATTCTATCCCTGAACCACCACTTCCCTCATTCAGCCGTCACAGGCTGCTAGCCCCAGATGAGTGTAGGACTGGTAAGCCAAGCTTAGATACACAGCATTAGACTAAAGCAACTGGAAAGAGCACCCCTGAGGGCCAGAGGAAAGGGCTGGCTGGTACCACTCAGGTTTAGGAAAAGTCATCTCAAACAGGGTATTTGAGAGCTGGGAGATCAGAGAAAACCACTTTACTGCGCTGGTAAGCAGGAGGAAGTATCTGCTTAAGGAGCAACCTTGCCTACCTGGAAAGGCAAGTCTCACTAACACAGAAGTGCAAACTGCATAAGAAGTGGCAGGAAAGGGCCAGGCAAATGGGCCCTGATGCAACCATCTAATGGAAGAGTCTTCCAACAAAGTGAGCATCATTTAAGACGAAATCATGTCAAATTCTTCATCAGTGCAGAGGGCCCTTGTAACGAGCTCCTAGAGAGCTTGAATCCCATGTATTACCTGTTGCAGGTGATCTGTACTGCTCTCTTCCTTGTTTACATCCAGATTCACAAAGCACACCTGCAAAAGAGGGCAAAAACAGTCAAGTGAAATAGTGGACAATCCTTTTTGAAGAAAGAGGAATCAGGTTGCTGCAAAGGATTTGAGACTCCTACACGTTTTAGGTAGTTTATCTGGCCTAGACACTGTTGTTTTACCCTTGGACTTCTAAGAAGATCTCTAACACCCTACTCCTGCTGCCCTTCTACTGATCCTATGAATGCCACTTCCTTTCATGGTCCAGCAAACTGAAAAAAAAAAAAAGAAATCTGCTTGTATTAGAGTCACTGTAACAGGTGTATGGGAATCATCAATCTTGTAACAGCAAGCAATCTCAGCTGCTTGTTAAGAATATCTTTGACGGGCATTTGAGGAAAGAGCATGAAATACTACTCCACTCTCATTCAGAGGCTCTCTCCCTCTGGGTTAGTAAGATGGGTAAATAGGAAGGAACTGGGCATTGGTGCCTTCGCAGACACTGAACACGGAAGCATATATACTAGGTGGAGCGCCAAAGAGGATCATGATCTAGAGTAGTTTGACAATATTCAGCCCAGTTCAATATCCATTAGAACTCAGGGCTTTTTTTCAGTGGAGGTGGGGGCAGTTTTTTTTGTTTTTTTTTTTTTGTACTGTAGATAAAGGTTTACGGAGCAAACTAGTTTCTCATTAAACAGTTAGTACACATATTGTTTTACGACATTGGTTAACAACCCCACAATATGTCAATATTCTCCTTTCTCAACCTTGGGTTCCCTACTACCAGCTTTCCTGTCCCCTCCTGGGCTCGTGTGCCCATTTAGTCTCGTCTTGTTTTATGGGGCTGTCTAATCTTTGGCTGAAGGGTGAACTACAGGAGTGACTTCATTACTGAGCTAAACGGGTGGCCAGGGGCCATACTCTTGGGGTTTCTCCAGTCTCTGTCAGGCCAGTAAGTCTGGTCTTTTTTTGTGAGTTACAGTTTTGTTCTACATTGTTCTCCAGCTCTGTCCAGGACCCTCTGTTGTGATACCTGTCAGAGCAGTCAGTGGTGGTAGCCGGGCACCATCTAGTTGTATTGGACTCAGTCTGGTGGAGGCCGTGGTAGTCGTGGTCCATTAGTCCTTTGGACTAATCTTTCCCTTGTATCTTTGTTAGTTGTTGTTAGGTGCTGTCAAGCCAGTTCCTACTCATAGTGACCCTATGCACCACAAAAGGAAACACTGCCCAGTCCTGTGCCATGCTCACAATCGTTGTTATGCTTGAGCCCACTGTGGCAGCCACTGTGTCAATCCATCTCGTTGAAGGTCTTCCTCTATTTTGCTGACCTTCTACTTTACCAAGCACAATGTCCTTCTCCTGGGACTGGTCCCTCCTGACAACATGTCCAAAGTATGTAAGACGTAGTCTCGCCATCCTTCCTTCTAAGGAGCATTCTGGTTGTACTTCTTCCAAGACTTGTACCTTAGTTTTCTTCATTCTCCCTTGCTCCAGATGGGGTGAGACCAGTGAAATATCTTAGATGGCTTCTCACAGGCTTTTAAGACCCCAGACACTACGCACCAGAGTAGAATGTAGCACACTTTCTTTATAAACTATGTTATGCCAATTGAGCTAGATGTTCTCTGAGACCATGGTCCCCACAGCCCTCAGCCCAGCAATTTGGTCCCTCAGGGAGTTTGGATGTGTCTATGGAGCTTCCATGACCTTCCTTGTACAAGTTGTGCTGGCTTCCCCAGTATTGTGTACTGTCTTACCTTTCACCAAAGTTACCACTTATCTATTGTCTATTTAGT